ATATGTTTCCATATTCCTTTCAGCTTCTTGCTACTCTACCCACCAGTGACTTCCAAAAACTCTGGTCATTTTTCGAACTCAAGGCTGAGTTAATCAATCTTTTGTTAGGTTCCCCTGCTTTCCTACTGCCTTCCACTTTTCTTACCATTATTGTCTCTTCCAGTGAGGTTTGTCCCTGCACGACATGTCAAATGTATAATAGCTGGAATTCGGTTATTCTAGCTTCTAGTGAGAGTTAAGGCTTGATTTAATCTACAGCTCACCTTTTGTCTTTCAGGCAGACTCCGGTATCCATAAAGTTCTCCTCCAACATCTCATTTTGTATAACTGGCAGTGTTAATTAGGTTAGTTAATTATATTTCAAATATTTTAATTGAGTGAAAAGATGCCTCTGATTAACTGAGTAGTAGGTATTGATAAATTTATGGATCAATCAATTGATAGATATGGTTCACTAAATTTCATAATCACCCTTTTCTTAAAAAAAATAAGTTTTGTAAGGAATAGAGTAGTGAAGAAGGATTTTGAAAACCTGGGTTCAATCCTCAATTTGGCCTGGGAATTCTCTGGCAGGGGGGGAATGATACATTACTTCTAGAATTTCTTACGTATCTTGAAAATATTATTAGGGTCTCTTGAAGTCAAAAGGAACTTGTCAGCCACTCAGAGTGGTATAAATATGCCAAACGGGCGGGATATAAATCAAATAAACACATAAATAAATAACATCTTCCATAACAAATGGACCATTGCAGGACCACAGCAACAACCATATGACTGTGTAATTCTCAGGATTAGTTATTTAATCAATTAATTTACACTAACTCAACAAATGAAACAACTTCTTTTCAACCCTAATATCTTAAACTCTACATATTCAGATCCCTCACCAGAAGATGGAGGGGGTATCAAGATGATGGTAAAGGGGAAGATTATAAGCAGCCTATCCTAATCACTTTGCCTTTTTGGTTAGCCCATCAAAGATATTGGTTCAAACCCCCAGCTGGTCACGAAAATACACGTGGTGATGGCAATCAGAAACGCCTCTCAAACATCTCACATCATGTTGAAAACCCTACTAGGTCACCATAAGTATGAAACTATATGGAGTCAACTCATAAATGTATTATGCGGTTGGATTTTGGATTTTTTTAATTTCACAATCAACAGCTATGCGCCTGTTACTTGTTTCCTTTGTGGTTTAAAGTGCTTTTTATTTTAAATAGGAAAAGGAAACATTTCGTTGCTGAATGAAGAAGTGAAGAACACAATGGGTTTGCTTTGCTTCCACCTGCACCCCATGGCTCAGCTGTGTCCAGTTACTCAGGATCCACTCTGCTAATTGGCCTTCTCCCTTCTGGTTATTTGTTCATTCCTCTTTCTGCATTTGATGCACAGAGATAACTAGGGCATGCTAGCAGAGTTCAGAATTCCCTCCTGGCAAGGGTTTAAGAACAAGTCTTCTTTTCTTTGAAGAACAGATATTGTGGAGAAGATGCCGATAGTTGGCAGGGGTATTTCCTCCCCCCCCGCCCCCGTTTAACGGTCCTGAGTGGCAAGCCATGGGTTGTGTTTGAAGAGTGGAATGGAATTAACTGGTGAAGCAGAAATTCTCTTTTGGGACATTTAAAGGTCTGGAAGGTAAAATACAACTTTAGACAAATGGTGAAGCCTGGAGCAGTAAGATTGCAGAATAGCATCATCCTTGGACAGAAATGTTCTTATTTTGGGTTCAGCCTCCAAATCTGCCACCAGCTAGTCAGCCATGCCATCCTTTTGGATACCGTAGGACTCCTGTATCTGTGGGGGATTGGTTCCAAGCTTTCCCAGCCAATGCTGAAAAGTGCATAACGCTATTTCAGTAATGAATACTATAGTACATAGCATGGTCTTTAGCTCCCTTTAGTGCCCAGTTCTGGTAATTTCATCATAAATATATACATATATGCATACTCATTTTTTAAAATATTTTAATATTTTCAGACTATGGATAAGTGAATAAGCAGATACAGATCCTGTGGATAAAGGCGTCCTACTGTGCTTTTATTCAGTTCCGTTCCCCACTTTCAATCAACCCTCAACATTTAATAATTAATGAGCAAGCTCAGTGTTCTACCTTTTAAGCTTTTCACCGCACAAGTTTTTAAAATTTTGTTTTACTATTCCTTACCATCATGGTTTCCTTCCCTAACTGTGTCAAACCTTAATAGATCCATTTTACGTAGCTTTGATTCCATTGGCTTTCACCACTTAAATTCACTATTAAGAACACAGTAATGTATCTGAATGATAATAATGTACCATACTTTTCGCACCATAAGACACACTTTTCCCCCACAAAACAGGGGGGTGGAAAGTCTGTGCGTCTTATGGAGCGAAGAAAACAGATTATATTTTGCTGTTTTCTTCTCCTAAAATTGGTGCATCTTATGGAAAGGTGCGTCTTATGGAGCGAAAAATACGGCATTTTATCTTGGAAAACACAGACTTATTTTGGAATCTAGATCTTCTGATTAATTAAATATAATTCAACTTACAATCTTCCCTGTACAGTATAGCCCTGGCTCAATAAGTTCATTTCGTTTAGTCATTTAGTCGTGTCCGACTCTTCGTGACCCCCATGGACCAGCGCACGCCAGGCCCTCCTATCTTCCACTGCCTCCCGGAGTTGGGTCACATTCATGTTGGTTGCAATAGGTTTATAGAGAGTAGAAATGTTATAATCCTGCCATTAGCCTCTGTTCAAACAGCCTTTGCCAATATGCAGAACGTGTTTACCTTGACTAAAGGTCCTCTTCTTAATAACTACCATTAAAAAGGCAGAAGCGTAATCTGATACACCTTTAAATGATTAACAGTCCTGAGCCAAAATACTTTGATAAAATAACTCGGTTTCTT